TATATGTTAGACCAAGACCACAATGGAACGATAACACTCTACAACTTTACGATGGGTCTGTGATCGAGGCGACCAGAAGAGCATGAAGCGGAACCTTTTATCTCCCTCGACATCCGAAGTGTTAAAAAGAGGAAGTGGAGAAGAATAAGAAGAAGTTGCGTGTTGCTCATTTTCTATAGTAAAGTTTAAAAAAAAAAAAGTAAAGATCCATTTTCACGCCTTTAGGCGCATCAGGCATATGGTAAGAGCACCCATATTTGTATGGACCTCGGCACTAGGTGGGTCATGTGGTCAGCATTACGCTGGCTGTCTTTTCTTCCCCAGGACTCATTTTCTATACCTGGTAATTTTTCACGTCTATGCAAGGAGTAGGAAAAACAGTCCACCCAAACTGTCCACCCGTCCATTTATGAAAACAAAACAAAAAATCCACATTCAACCTACTGCGAGCAGTATCGGCTATAATTGTGGTCTGGTCTATCCGGTAGGACTAATTCAACAATGAGTGGTTAAGATAACGTCGAAGGGAAACCCTAAGATGAACATTGTTGCGAGAGGCCAAAGATGCTGGACTGTTTTACATGTATGATATAGAGAGGATTGCAAGGATAGAATGGAATGGAAAACTAGATTACGAACCCTTTGTGACCCAAAAAGTCACAACAGGATATTGATGATTTTGATGATGATGATTAATTTCTTTGATATGTTTATATTCACAGGGTAAAAGTTGCAGTCAGGGTTCGCCCCTTCAATCAAAGGTTAGTCATAAAACTTTCCCATTATCCAACTAAATACGTTTATTTCATCATACTTTTACAAATTCATCACATTTATTGCACTTCTTATAGTCCTTGCCGTGTGGCACTGCATACATCTTTGTCCACGACCTTCTGTCTCGTGTACTTTCAATCAACTCTGACACAGATGATTAGTGATTAGACAGGATTATCATCATAACATTTCGGACAGATCCATAGGTGCTCCGATCTCCTCTTCAAAAACTCCACAAGTGTAAGACGACTGATGACGCCTGTTCTGTGTTGAAACGTCTTGTCACCTTAGTGAAATGTTCATTTCTTGCAGCTCCAGGCTGCACGTCCATGTCCATCAGTCTAGACAGGGATTCGGAGTCATGTCCTTTGGCGTGCTCCTCGGTTTGGTAAGTGCAGCCTATATAACATCACTTCCGTCCAGTACTGGACCAGCCATAGCTACCGCAGTGTCAGCAAGATAGTATACACGCTCGTTCCCTTAAACACCCGCATGACCTGGCACAAAGATGAAGGTTAGGGCAGCTATTCGTGAAGTGCTTAGTATTGCAATCCATTCTTACAGATGATCTTCTATGCCATGATGTCACACTGTCTATCATCTTTTCTGTCAGTCTCCCTCTACATCTTCTCCCCTTTAACTTGTCCACCACACGACACACTCCAGTTGTCTCCCCCTCGTGATATGACCAAACAATCTAAATTTTCTCCCTGTCTTCTTCTTTTTTCTTCGCGTTCACCGGCTGTAAACTCTGGCGAAGAGTTTTGGTTGCTAGTCCACTTCTGGACTGCAGTCCTGTTCCAGAACTTGTGTGTTGCATGTGCATCCGTTTGATAGATCTGACTAATTTGTATGCAGACTGTTGGTTCCTTGCCTCTCAGACAGTGTGATGTGGGCAGTTAGTTATCTTCGTCAGCCATTTTCTTGCCATACATCGTCGTTTGGCTTTTTATCTGCCAAGGACAGTGGTTTTCAACCTTCTTAATGCCGCGACGCTTTAATACAGTTGCTGATGTTGTAGTGGCTCTTTAATACAGTTTCTCATGTTGTGGTGACTCTTTAATACAGTTGCTCATGTTGTAGTGACTCTTTAATACAGTTTCTCATGTTGTGGTGACCCTTTAATACAGTTGCTCATGTTGTGGTGACCCTTTAATACAGTTTCTCATGTTGTGGTGACCCTTTAATACAGTTGCTCATGTTGTAGTGACTCTTTAATACAGTTGCTCATGTTGTAGTGACTCTTTAATACAGTTGCTCATGTTGTGGTGACCCTTTAATACAGTTGCTCATGTTGTGGTGACCCTTTAATACAGTTGCTCATGTTGTGGTGACTCTTTAATACAATAGCTCATGTTGTGGTGACTCTTTAATACAATAGCTCATGTTGTGGTGACTCTTTAATACAATAGCTCATGTTGTGGTGACTCTTTAATACAGTTGCTCATGTTGTGGTGACTCTTTAATACAATAGCTCATGTTGTGGTGACTCTTTAATACAGTTGCTCATGTTGTAGTGACTCTTTAATACAGTTGCTCATGTTGTGGTGACTCTTTAATACAATAGCTCATGTTGTGGTGACTCTTTAATACAGTTGCTCATGTTGTAGTGACTCTTTAATACATTTGTTCATGTTGTGGTGACCCTTTAATACAGTTGCTCATGTTGTGGTGACCCTTTAATACAGTTGCTCATGTTGTGGTGACTCTTTAATACAATAGCTCATGTTGTGGTGACTCTTTAATACAGTTGCTCATGTTGTAGTAGTTGACTCTTTTGTGGTGACAGTTGCAGTTGCTCATGTTGTGGTGACTCTTTAATACAATAGCTCATGTTGTTGCTCATGACTCTTTTAATACAGTTGCTCATGTTGTGGTTTAATACAGTCTTTGATACAATAGTAGCTCATGTTGTAGTGACTCTTTAATACATTTGTTCATGTTGTGGTGACCCTTTAATACAGTTGCTCATGTTGTGGTGACCCTTTAATACAGTTGCTCATGTTGTGGTGACTCTTTAATACAGTTGCTCATGTTGTGGTGACCCTTTAATACAGTTGCTCATGTTGTGGTGACCCTTTAATACAGTTGCTCATGTTGTGGTGACTCTTTAATACAGTTGCTCATGTTGTGGTGACCCTTTAATACAGTTGTTCATGTTGTGGTGACTCTTTAATACAGTTGCTCATGTTGTGGTGACCCTTTAATACAGTTGCTCATGTTGTAGTGACTCTTTAATACAGTTGCTCATGTTGTGGTGACCCTTTAATACAGTTGCTCATGTTGTGGTGACTCTTTAATACAGTTCCTCATGTTGTAGTGACTCTTTAATACAGTTGCTCATGTTGTGGTGACCCTTTAATACAGTTGCTCATGTTGTGGTGACCCTTTAATACAGTTGCTCATGTTGTGGTGACTCTTTAATACAGTTGCTCATGTTGTGGTGACCCTTTAATACAGTTGCTCATGTTGTGGTGACTCTTTAATACAGTTGCTCATGTTGTGGTGACCCACAAATATACAATTATTTTGTTACTGCTTCATAACTTCAATGAATATGTGTTTTCTGATGGTCTTAGTCAACCCCTGTGAGAGGGTCGTTCGACCCAAAAAAGGGTCGCAACCCGCGCTGGTTTAGGACATTCTCATGATTCGTCTATTAAACAACATCTGCACCGCTTCCAAATAATGTATCTAATCGTCCAACTGTCCATGGTTCACTTCTGCATATCAGGATATCATTGATTAGCTTCTGCGAATTTAGCACATTCAGTCGCACATAAAGATTTAATTAACTCATTGGATCTCGTCTAGATCAGGACAGAATTAACCATTAAGCACACCAATCACATGTTTAGGGCATCATAAAGGGAATGGGGCACCACATACATTTTCAAAAATAACAACAATGCAACCTGGCAGGCTGGATGCTTTATCTCTATTAAGTATAGAAGCTGATGTATTACATAAAATTAGTTTGAAGATCTGATCAAAGACTTTGAAATTAAAAAACGTAGGAGATATCGTTTCAAATATATATGAAGTTGAAGTATACAAAAATAAGACATTATTTTCTATCTTATTGAAAGTTTTGTTCAATTTCGTTAAATACAATTTTATTTAATTATTTTTATTACTGTCTATACTTGAAATTACTTATTTATGGGACACCAGTGCTGTTTTAACACATGGGTTCGCTGTGCACTTGCCCGGGGTGGGGGGAGGGGAGCACGAACATAGGGGCTTTATGCTAATCTGTGTATGTCAAGTGAACATTTACATTTCATTCCTGTGAGTGGTTTTCCTAGGGCCCCAGAACACCGGTTTGCACACGGGCCTATAATTCTGTGAAAACGGCTGTGTGTGTGTGTGCGCGTAGGGGGGGGGTCTTTTACGTGCTTTGGGGGTGGGGAGTGGGGCGGGGGCACCAAAACCTGTTAAGAGCTTAGGGCATCAACGGGGTCTTAATCCGGACCTGGTCTAGATGTGACAGGAATGTCAGTCCCAATTGTAACTTCAGTCTTAATATATAAAAGGGTTTATATAACAATTGTTGTAAACCTAGCGAGCGTTGTAACGTAGTGGGTTGACGCCCGTCCCCCCGATTGCCGGTCCGAATGGCGTGGGTTCAAATCCACAGCATGCCGGATTTTTTAAAATACAGAATTGATCTTGACTCCCTGGTCGACCCAGCCTAAAATGGGTATCAGGAAATGACATGAGACGTAAAGACCCACGGCAAGTTGTTGAGCATAACACCCATCGACACCCATTTATGTGTTTAAAAAAAAAAATATGAGTCTAGTTTGATCTTCCGAATGGGCCTCTAGAGTAAAAAAGGTCCTTCTCTAATTAAGAGGTAACTTTTATTTTTCTTATATAGAGCTTCCGCGGATAAATTAATTTAGAGTAGCAGCGGTGAGTCTGAAAGAGTTGACGAGAATGGCGCTGCCAGGAGTTACCAGGGGATTTGGCCGACGCTTAGCACCCAGGGGAAAGATGAGACGGTTATACAATCAGACAGTTACTGGTACCATCGGAATTGGAACTCTTTTCTTGCTGTTGAAAATGGGGACCGAGTGCCGTGATATTGATTCCTAATTCAACATGTAACATTTGTATCAGCTTTAAACCTAGCAGTTATTATTTTCAATTTATTGTTATTTTCAGTTAAAAATTTTCCCATTTGAAGCTTGTGAAATGACAATTGTCTGCGACTCAAAAAGTAAACCAATTTTTTACCCCCAGAGAAAAAGACCGGCAAGCTAAACTCATTATCAAAATGCAGGGAAATATGACGTCGATTAGCAACCCTGAAAACCCCAGTAAGTTTCCTAATGAATCATCAACATCACCACCATCAGGACCACCATCATGAACACCACCACAAATACCATCACTACCATTACCACCACCGTCACCATCACCCCCACCGTCACCATCACCACCACCGTCACCATCACCACCACCGTCACCATCACCACCACCGTCACCATCACCACCACCGTCACCATCACTACCACCACCACCACCATTATCACCTCCACTACTTCCATCACCATTACCATCACCACCACCACTAACACTACCACCACCATCACCATTACCAGCACCACCACCACCATTACCATCACCACCACCACCATTACGATCGCCACCACGACCATTACCATCACCACCACCACTAACACTACCACCACCACCACCACCATTACCATCACCACCACCATCAACATCGTCATCATTATCATGTATTTACCCCGATAACGTTAGTGTTTGTATCTTTCCATATATTTCGCTCCTTGTTATCTGCATCAGTTCTGTCTGCAGTGTTTTTGTCTCCATGTCCGCAGCGCAGCGGATTTTTGTACAGTGAGGCTTCAAATAAGGACCTTACAAATGTGATGGAAGTTATAATAACCATGCAACTGTTATAACCTGTCAGTATCGTGGTTTAGATGTCAAGAGTCTTAAGCACATAACATCAAGGGCCAGACGAACACGGTGACGTCATAATGACAGTTTTAAATATGGCAGCCTCGCTTTTAGGAGGGCTGTGTGGTCTCGAGGCATGGCGTCCGCCTTGAGTGCTGAAGGTCCTGGGTTTAAGCCCCGGTGAAGGCTGTTATTCATTTTTACGTTGACTTCTAGTAATTTTCCCTGGTCTCTGGGTAGTAAGATCGGACTCCCGTGTGTATTGTTGCCCACGTAAAAAAATCCCTTGGAAGTCGAAAAGAGTAGCCTAATGACGCTGCCCGGGCAAAACTTGGAGTTTAAAATCTACCTGAAGTATTTCAGGATCCTCGTCGGTGCTACGGAGTCGTGCACTGCGCTGAGATTCTTCGGTCTCCGGCTTGAGTCAGAAGTAGAATATGGGTGCACTTATGGGAATATGGAGCACTTATAGGTTACCACCCTTTTGCCATGATGTTGATCCGTCCTCTAAACCTAAACCTAATACTCAAGAGTAGAAGTAAGAACGTTAATCGTCACCTTTTCCCGAACTGGTCAGATTGAAGGAACCAGGGCAATCTGTTAGGCTATTGTCACTATTAACATACCCCTCTTTGTTTTTTTTTTGTTTTTTTTTTGTTGTTGCTAACCCACGTTTCTGCTCACTTACACATTCCTATATACTTCTCTATATTCCACACTATTTTGCCTGCACTTCTCCCCCCCCTGTCTCG